AATTCAACTATTATTTTCTCTTGTGGACTATATGTAAACATCTTTTATGTGAAATATCTTATTCAGGTCAGCACTAAATAAACAATAACATGCATTTTGTATGATCCCTCTTATTTTGGTAAAATAATAAACATTTTGCAGATTCTGAAAGGGGTATGTAAACTTTTGAGCTCAACTGTATGTGTGTGTGTGTGTGTGTGTCTTGTGTCCATGCCTCGACAGGTCAGAGCTGTTTTGGTGATACAAGGGGGGCCTACACAATATTAGGCAGGTGGTTTTAATGTTATGGCTGATCGGTGTGTGTGTGTGTGTGTGTGTATATATATATATATATATATATATATATATATATATATATATATATATATATATATATATATATATACAGTATGTCTATAGGTGTGTGACGTTTGTGTGATCTACTGCCTCAATGCTGAGCTGTTGGTCCTAGTCACTTCCATTTCACAATAATAGCACTTACTTCTGACCAAGACAGATCTAGCAGAGCAGAAATTTCATGAACTGACTGATTTGTGGCAAAGATTGCATCCTATGGCTACAGTCGGGTGCATAAGTATTTCGACAGTGCCACAATTTTCCTAATTTTTTACTTTCTCATCAAAACGTGATTTCATTAATAAATTTAATTTAAGATTCTAATATCTACTAGATTGAATTATGTAGAGTGAGCATGATCAAATCAGGTAGCATTAACATGAAATTTGGTGAGGATGTTGGCACTGATGGGAATTATAACTACAGTATTAAATTAACATGATTAAAACATGTGCAGTAGAATAGCACAGAGGTAATGTGGCTGTTGCGACTTGGGTTTCGAGCCTCAGTTCAGGTGAGAGTGCGGAGATAGGTTTTATTCAGGGCAGGGCTTTGAAAATACATAATCAAATCACACTGAATGTACAAAAAAGCTGTGCAATTTGTAACTCAGTGTAACTCATTTCAGTCACATGAAAATGATGTACGAGTTTGGGTTGTGTACACTGACACAAACAGGCTAATCTTTTATCAAATTTTTTCCTTTTCTTTCTGGTTTCTTTTTTCCCCAATAATTTTTCTGTTTGCTTTTCACTTGAATTGTGTTGGTTTCATATTAAAGGTGAAAAGAGATCTGGCATGATTCATCTTGGTTTAAAGTTTTACATCACAAAAACCTGCAATTTTAACAGGAGTGTCTAGAGTAACAGGGGTGTGAGACTAACAGGGGTGTGTACACTGACAGGGGTTTGTAGATTAACAGGGGTGTGTAGACTGATAGGGGTGTGTATACTAACAAGGGTGTATAGACTAACAGGGGTGTGTATACTAACAGGGGCGTGAGACTAACAGGGGCGTGAGACTAACAGGGGTGTGAGACTAATAGGGGTGTGTAGAGTAATGGGGGTCTGTAGAGTAACACGGGTCTGTAGAGTAACAGGGGTGTGTATACTAACAGGGGTTTGTAGAGTAACAGGGGTGTGTAGATTAACAGGGGTGTGTATACTAACAGGGGTGTGTAGCATAACAGGGGTGTGTATGATATGATACACTTTTCTGAGATATCATTGGTATTGCCTGGGTGCTTTTATGTACTAATCATTACAATTTATCTCCTTGATAGTCCTTTATTCTACTTGAATTTTTGCAATTGCTGAATATCAAAACAAATCTCTGACTGTCTACTTTTTGATATAATTGCTTCCCTTGTACGATTAATATAAAAAATATTGTTTATACTGAAAATGTCTTCAGGTAGAGTCTATATATCACTCCAGGAGGCAGGTCGTTTCTCCACTAGATGGAGACTTTGATCAGGGTATGGCATTGATCATTTACAGGACCTCAGCACTTATAGCTTAATATTTAGTGGATGAATGATGCCTGATGACAGTAAAAATAAAAATTACACATATGCACTAGATACATTAATTTAATAAAATAAAACCTCAGTTGTCAGTAATCTGATAAAACTTTGATTTTCATATATTCTATATTGTTACATTAGATCTAATATTGCATTTGATCATTTTTGATGTCCCACCTGTAAAAATACAGCATTTCCTGAAAGAGCTTTCAGATGAATAGCATATGAGAAAATGGAAGCACTAAGCGCTGGTCCCACAGCTGTCACCATCTATGCCTGAACTGCGTGACCCCACACATGGAATATTTACCTCCTTAATAATATTCTACCATTCTGTGGCCAGGGCAGGAAATGAGAGATTTTAATTGCATGTGTCATCTGTGTTCATATTTTCCTTGAGTTATGCCCCATAAAGCCAAAGTGTAACACTTGTTAATAATACCCAGTGTCATGTTTTAAATGAAAAAGAACTATTTATACCCCCTCTTATTAACCTCATGTGCTTTTGGGTATAATGCTCTGTCATTAGCTGGGGAGGTCCGAAAACTTTCAGCCAGCATGAGAACAATATTCTAATACAAGAATGGACGGAGAGATGAGCAGTTCAGTTTTCTTGATAACTGCCAATCTTGATTTTAAAAATCATCATTAAGCACATAAATTATTTAGAAATCAATCAAGCAAGCAAATCAATTATTTAGAATTTTTTCACTAATAATATTAAGTCAAAATCTGAAATAATTTTATTCTGGTGTTTGGTGCAGATATGCATCAACAAAGTGCCCTAAGTCAGACTGAAAGAACAATGATGGATATAACAGACACTGTATTGAATGGGATGCCTAAACAATTCTACTACCTATCAGTAATTCAGCTATCAGTACTATCTATCAGTAACTCAGAGTTACTATTTTCAACCCATTATTTTTGAGCATTATAAGGGTCCCTGGAGGACTAGTGGTTAGGCGGTGGCACTCTCACTGCTGTGGCCCAGGTTCAATTCCTGGCCAAGGAACGAACCCCAGCCACTGGGGTTGCACAAGACAGTGCACTTCCAGTGCCGGTCCCAAGTCCCTGGACCATCTCCTTGTTCTGCTCAACAAGGCTTCTGAAGTTTTGCGGGGCGCTCGCCATCAGCTTAGCAATGCCACATTTAAGGCCCAGGTTCTGGAAGAACATGATGTTGACCCCATGGTGGTCAATATGGCATGATGAGGTGGAAAGTGAGGCTGGGAATTTTTTCAGTGATCCCAGCTAGATCACTGTGGCTGGCACAGATGGACATCCACAGTTTCTATTTGAGCCTCCAAATGTTCAGGTGGGCAGAGGATTGCCTCTGGGTGGTGTTCAAGCACTTGAGTAATCAGCGGGTCTCTGGCCCCAAGATTCTCAGCATGGCCACAGTCTCCACATAAACACATATCATATAAACTAGGTTCTGTTACAACACCCAGCCTCTGAGCTTTTGGATCTTCAAGATGTCGACTGACAGGTTGTAAAGTACATCTATGGCGGATGTGTTCTCAGCCTGCCTGATGGAGGAGCAATGCAAAGTAACTAACACTTGTATTAACTGATGTTTTTTAAAATAATAAAACAAATAATCGATGCTGACATTAACCACCAATGAGTAAAATTACTCACTGACCAAATGACACGCAATAAGTAAAATTATTTAAACAATGATTAAAATTACTCACATTTAGTTAAATTATTTACTCAGCAAGTACAATTACCCATAATACCTAACATAAACCAATAACCTAATTAAAACATTTGTGATTATTAACTGGCAAGATTCAGAATTGAGGCTGAAGGAAGTTCCAGTTTTTACACCTGGAGACCAGAGTTCAGTAAGTTAACAACATTTAGTAACAGTGAAATTTTATTTTTCTAATTTATGTGGATTCATTTTAGCCATGCACTGAATAAACATTAGTCAATGCAAGTGAATTTCATTAATATTTCAACAAATGTCAATTAATACATGTATTAACTTACTTTGTTACTTTTTAAATTAGCTTATTAATACTGAAGTTCACTAATGTAGTCAATTAATGTTAGTTATAGGAAACTCAGTGTAAACTGCTATCATTACTCTACTTACTGATCATTGTGGATCTTTTCGACAAGGTGGGTGTATAGCCACGGTTCCCTGAGTGGGTGTGGCTTTTGATCAGTTCTAGTCCTGCCATCCATTATATACATGCTGAAAGCAGAAGCAAAGCAAATGATTCCAGATGCAATAATAACGATATAATAGGAGGAGAACCCTCAGCGACTGAACCAGCAGGAAAAGAAACCTGCTAAGAAGTAAGCACAAAACAGGGCAACAACTTCTATATTGAGAAATTGTTTTAAAGAGGAGAAATTTAAAATAACCTTAATATCGGCTACTATACAAATGATTTGAATATTATGGTTGTTTTTTAAAAATATAGCCCCATAAAAATATACCTTATGTCTTCTGTCAGTACATCACTGAAAAACCAAGTGCAAATAGTGAGTATATATAATATACTTTGGAGTATATAACTCTAAATTCAAAGGAATCGTGCTAGTTTTCTGTTGACTTTTAGTAGTAAAAAGGCATAATAAGTGTTTATATACAGTACATAGAAAATATATAAACTTAGAAAATGTAGGCTCATAAACCAGTCAAGGAAGCATGCTCTCTAGTGTCTAGCAGTTAACCTAAGAATTTGCTGTAATTTTGTGATACACGATTGAATCCCTTCAGGGTAGATCATTTGAACGCAAAAAATCTTGCTGTGGTTTTAAAGAAACAATGAGTTGCTGTCATAAAAGGTAGACTGGAGCAAATCCAGTTAGCATTTATTAAAGAGCTGGCAAACAAATCCAAATCGTGAAGCAAGAAATGTAAACAATCAACAGGCAGTATTCAGGCAGTCAGCAAACCACAATGTCAGGGCAAATCCTGAATCCAAAAACCAGGCATCCAGCAGATCAAAAACCAGAATATCAATATACAGAAAATGAACAGCTTGGTCAGATGAATAAACACTCTGTCTGTCTGTCTGTGTGTGTGTCTGTGTGTGTGTCTGTGTGTGTGTGTGTGTGTGTGTGTGTGTGTGTGTGTGTGTGTGTGTGTGTGTGTGTGTGTGTGTGTGTGTGTGTGTGTGTGTGTGTGTGTGTGTGTGTGTGTGTGTGTGTGTGTGTCCTATTTATGTGTTGGGTACAATTGGCAACAGGTGTGTTTGATCAAAAGTCCGGTTACTGTGAACATGAGAGAGTTCGTGTGTTCTGGAAAGTGTAGTCCAGGGCAGTCATGTTCATAGGCTGCAGTGCATTCTGAGTTTGATAGATACACCCCCCCAGGTGTCCGCATATTTTTGGCCATATAGTGTATATCAGTGACTGTATACAGTACTGTATATGTGTGGACATTGTAACAGTGAGTCAAAAGTGAAGTCAAAATGTCTGTGAAGCCATCTAGTGGCTGACTATTCCCATGTTAGTCAGTGGGAAAGGTAGCAGACTTCAATTTTAAGTTACATCTCCAGAAGTTATTTCTGAGAATAACTATCTCCCCCAATATTTTTCCTTACAATAAATACATTTTATAGGAGTTATTTGGTGATAAATAAAAGGGTGTGGTTTATAAGGTGATTGACAATTTTGAATCTGACAGGCAAGCCTCATGAACGTGCATGCTCTTTCCAACACACACCTGAAGCTCTTAACAGTTCTGTAGCAAGGCCATGTCTTGTTCTGCTGTTCTAATAGACCCTCAGTTACCCAGTTACTCCTTTTTAAATGAACTCCACCAACAAGAATGAGTGGAGCATAAAAGAGTGCACTTCTCCATTCAGATGCATAACTTACTGTGAGTGTCAGAGCTAGATGAAAATCATGGGATTTTTTTTTCCCCCTCAAAAAAATAGGTTGTGTTGAGTGCAAATTTTGACTGTTGTTTACCAGGATATTTTCAGTTTGTACATTACATTAGCTACTTATCCAACTACATGCCAAAATTTACAAGCAAATCATTGTGATCAATTATATACCCATGCCAAAGATGCCTAATTAAAGGACAATCTGTTACTACATGCACAGTGTATCCATCATACGCATACTCTTGTTACTGTACAGGGTTCACTGTAATGGTATTTTTATGAGTAATTAAATCAAAGTACTTTTACTTGAGATTTTTTTAAATAAAATATTCAAATTTGCTATATTTACATTACAACTTTGCTGTATTTACATTTATAAAAAATAATACATTTAACCTCAGAAGACTATAAGCTAATTTTAAATAATTTAGTTTCAAGACCTAATCAAAAGAAATCAGTTTCCTCTGGGTTCTCCAGTTTCCTCCCTCCTCCCAAAACCATGCTCGTATATGTGTATATGTATGTGCCCAGTGATTGGAGTGGTGGCCCATCCAGGTTGTATACTACCGGATTAGGCTCCTGATCTGTAAGAACTATGACTAGGGTAAAGTGTTTACTGAAGTTGAATGAATGATCTACGTATACATTGTGCACCACCTTCATAAGGACAATACTTACATTCTGCAATCTTTGCACTGTTGTAAATCAAAGAAATATATCTTAGGAAAGCCACTTTAACTTGACATAGCACTTAGTATTTCCCAAAAAAAGGTCTCAACACTTCACCTGAAGAAAAACTGTATTTTTTTTTAAAACTCTGTCATAACTATGATTAAGCGTGCACATACAGTCTATATTCCCAGTGTCCCAGAATCTGCATAGCCATGAGTGAGCTTCTCATTAACTCACTAAAGTATCAGGGTTGTGACGAATGAGTTCTTGCCGGAGGTGACACACTGTGGAAGATCCCTGTTGCCATATCCGGAACACATCTCACACAGTCCTCAGATTTGAAATGATCTTGAAACTAGGACTCAGCAAAGAGTGACTGCTGAGGAGCTAAAACACTCATTCTGTAAGGTATATATGACTCAGTACCACTGCACACCACAATTTACAAAGCTGCATCAGACACTATATTATGGAACTCGTTTTTGCTGCTACATCACACAATAGTTTACAGCCCATGTTCTGTGTATCTATTGTTCTGTGTATTTATTGTCTTGCACTCGTCTGACACTGTTGTGCATTTGCACTTTATGTAGTCTTGCGTACTGTTCTGTGCTGCACCATGGTCCTGAAGAAACAACATTTCGTTCCAATGTATACAAGCCATATAGAGGAATGACAATACAAACTCACTTGACTTGACTTATATCGAAGTGATGCTACCACAATTACCCATCATTTATAATGAGGCAAAAGCAATGCAATGCAATGTTGAATCCTATTTCTTTATTTAATTCACATTATATATTCAAGCACAGACTTACATATTTGTGTGTAAAATGAATACACTTACATTGATAAAATCTAAAAAAAAAACAAAAAAAAAAACGGAAAGGAAAGAAAAGATATTGCGTATTACAGAGAAGACCTATACTGAATGAAAATTTTGCATTCTTTGGTTGTAGGAAAATAAAGATTTTGAACACATCATAGAGAAAATACTGTCTCTGCTCATTTATACTTTATCAGAATATAAAAATGTAATGCAGTATTGGCCTGGGAAAATGCTTCTGTTTATGAAATGGACAAGACAAAATTTGAATGACACTGGAAAAAAATTCCGTAGGATAAATAAAACATGTATAGTCAAACAAATTGGTCTTTATAGACAATCTTCACTGCAAGGCTAGAGTAGAAAAATGGCCCACTATTTAACGGACATTATAATCTAACCTAAACAGCTATTTCACTGAATAATATTACAAACTGTTTTGCTTAGGAATGTTTGCTACAGCATTCAGATTTTCACAGGAACAACTCCTTAGCTGTTGTTGTGGTACACAGTAAACACATTAGGTTGTGGCTGGATGTTCAGGGCTTCTCTGTATTGCAGGATGAAAAGAGAGAGACTGATGAGCAAAGCTGTATGAGAGAGCGGCATGGCTCAGCCTAGACCCCAGAGGCCGTATCTCACAAACAGAATTAATCA